TTTTTCAAGAAACAGAAATAATGAAAAATATTTCTTATACGAAAAATAATCCCTCTCAAAGTCTACACAGCTCACTGACCTGATTATACCCAAGTACAATTATCTAACATCTGCAAGACTATTTTTCGTCTTTAAGGTCGTTGGGATCTTATTGTTCTAATTTTCTTTATAATAATAAATAATTTTTCTTAAGAACTGCATTATAAGCTTATTTTCGGCATCATTTTGATAGTAGTGATGAGACTATAGTCCCCGGCCTTTGTATTGCTTGCAAACAGATGTACGTATGCATGTGCATTACTTCGTTAATTGTAAGTCTATTATATTATATTTATATATGTAGCTATCCTTCAAATAAAGCAGTTTACTTCCTTGGCCAAAATGGCAATTAACAATGTCTAACTGCAAACGCAGTGCTTCTTGACTTTTTTATTTCTTTTTTTTTTTTGAAATTCAATGCAATCAAAAGCGACCTTAGTTGCAAGCAAATTATTAAATACTCATTTCTATAAATGTATCTTCTATGCTGGTAGTATACATACATGCATTTGTGTCATATAGAGCAGTTAACCTAAATATGCGAATGTAATAAAACTAAAAATGATTAAAGCTGAGTATACATACACATGTAAGTACATTACGCTATAAGTGCCAGAAATTAACTAAAAATTTAATGTACTTTTATGATTTTTAATAGTTCATATGAACTTGCTAACAAGGTTTTCTAATTAAAAGCAGAAACTCGCAATGATTTTAAGAGAAGATAGTATATTTTGAAAAAAAAAAAAATTGCAAAATGCAACAAGCATTTAACAGAACTGAAGGACTTACAGCAATGTTTGGTTTTATGGTATTCTATGTACATATATATGTATATCCCAAAGTCAACCGTTAAGTCTATATTATTGCATAGCTTTATATCTTTTATTAACTATTTCGTATGTGTTTGAGAACTATTTATATTCGCATTGCTAGTGTTTACTTCTTTCAATGCCTGCTCAAGGTACGACTCACGGGTCAAAGTACAATCGCTGCCTTAAATAAAGTATTGCCAGAAACGTTTAGTTTTATATCTCACATTTTTTGTCGTTTTTTTTTTTTCCAAGGCAATGCGAATAAAAAACGTTTTATTTTGCACGTCCACTTAGATTTAGGATGCCAAATGGTCTGTAACATTTTGTTTGTGTTTTTTTTCTACAACAAAGGTAGGCGCATACATGGCACTGGCGAGTACAATAAATCGATCAGGGGGGGTGTGGGGAGTGTGTTTAAGTTTTTTTATGTTGATAAGCTGTCGTGTACTGAAAGGTTGTTGCACAATTGTGTAAATAAATAATATTAACCGTGGTATGTGGAATGTTTAACATTTGGTGCTGAAAATCAGGCATGCGAAATGGAAAAACTGTTAATCTAATTTCCTTACAATTCTTTCGCCATTTTTAGCTCTTCAACATCGGCAACTGTTTCCTTCTAAAACTCACCCTATATCGATAATTTCTTGAGGTTCTGTGTACTTAATTTTTTTATGGCTCGTTTAAGGCAATTTTTAAGTGCAATATAACTATCGTTCGGCAGTTAATATTCAGTTGTTTTACAAAAATTCTATAGTCCCTTACAATTTCTAAAATAAAAAATAAAGGCTAAGGGCAGATTATCTATTTTCATTGGTACGCTTTGATGTCGACTTCTTCTATAAAATTATTATTTCTATATCGACTAAGCACTGGTATCGATAGTCACTGAAAACTGAAATCGGCACTCGACAAGCTTGATTAGCATTATACCGTTACTTTGTCAGATTATTTGGTCACTTTGGTCACTCCTTTGGTGAAGGCAAGAATCTTTGCCCCCAATATCCCATTTATCACCGCCAGTGTTTACATTTAGGTATGCTTGTATGTATGTATTCTGAATGCGGCAGTGCTTTCAAATAGCGCAAAAATATACAACAACAAAAAAATTGCTGAAAGTAAAGCATTGCTTAGTTAAGCACAATTAATTATAAGCAGTCACATTTCGTGTCAACAGCTGTAAGTGAGTTCGTCAAATTGAGTTTGTTCAGGCACAGATGTACGAGTACATATGTATGTATGTAAGTACCACGTAAATACATAAATATCAGCGAATGTACGCCATTCATAGATAGATACCTTTGTGTTTTGCGAGACTTCAAGTTGACACATGACGTATGTTGTTGTCATTGTATAGTTAATTACAAAACGTTCTCTTTCCGAACAGAAAGATTTAACTGCGAGGAAGTAAATACTCGTACATATCTGACAATTTAGTTGGTTCGTAGCCTAAGTCTTTTGTTTGGAAGTAAATATTTTCCTTCTTTGTTTATAGTATCGTATTGTATTTTTTCCATTGACTAGTACGCATTTTTAAATAATTAATAATTTATCCCTTAGTAAGTACTATTTTCAGCTAAATTACACAACTGCACTTAAAAAAAAAAAATTGTTTCAGCCCATAGGTGTGTGAGAGTCGTTAGTATATTTTAACAATGAAAACAAAACTACAGATAATTTTACACCAACCAAACTCGATTCCAGCAATATTTAGAAAAAAGAATGTATTATGCATTGACTCATTACCGATACCAAAAATAAAAAAATCTTGCAACTGTGGGGAGTAGAACAAAATTTTTAGTTTTTGTTTAACCGATTTTAGTATTTTTCAAACCGGACTTGGGCGCAAATAAATGTTATAAAACTTAATTTCCATCCAGAATACTCGCGATGCCTTCAATTCATTCCACGGCAGCGAGAAAGCAAATATATTGCTGGGGCTTCGAAAAGCTTTTCTTGTTTCTTTTAGGAAACCCGCAAAGCCACCATAACATTTTGAATGGATGATATTTGGAAAAGGTATTTTACGCTAAGGTGTTGTAGAGGATATTGCACATACATAGCTTTTGAGGCCTCTAAACTGCTTATGGCCACAAGTCCATACATATCGCCACGGTATTAGCGTTTACTTGGCGTGCAAGATTTCTTCAAATCAAATACGTTTTGTATACCTTTAAACAAAAGCACTTCACTGCTCCTTTGTCCACAAGTCTTTCAGATTCATATTGGCAATATTGTCAGCGACATAGCTATTATGCCATTTTGTTTTAATCCTCAAATTTTTGTCTGAAGTAAAAAAAAAAAATTACCGGAAATAATTCAGTTAGAAGATGAGCCATACTTATTTATGGCTGTCTCTTTTCCTTGTGTATTTTGTTGTTTTTTTTTATGATTTCGAATGCATTTACAGCGTATGTAAGCAAGATTTGTTCTTTACTCGATTTACAGACTGTAGTAACTTTTACAAATAGCAACTAATGTAAAATATTGACGTCAAAGACAGTAAATAATTTGTTTCATGGGAAACTTGTCCACATGAATTTATGATGCCATAAAATTTGTGAGCAAATAATATTTTCAACAATTATTGTACAGAACTCACGCTTACCGCTAAAAGGGCATAGTTCCCAATTATCAATAATACATACATATTTATTCTGCGGCATAACTCATTTATTTACGTGTCATACAAAATATTTGCAGTACTTATACCGCAAATGGGCTCGTATGACGTTTAATACGCACGTGTGATTAAGTACGTACATTCGTTTACGTACACCCATTCTAGCTTCTTCTTAACACCATTGAATTTGAGTTGTGCCCCTTTCGTGGGAATACAAAAAAATACAATAAACTCACTCAGGGTTGCAGGGCCTTTCATTGCACATT